ATGTTCGTTTTTAGGCGAATCAAAATAACTGGCTTTATCTCGTTGGACCAGCTACAATCTCTTGACCAAAAATGTGAGCCAAAAAAAAGTACTAGGACCCGGTACAAAGGGGGCCAAAAAAACCACAGGTAGATGACCCTGGGTGGTTGGGGGGAGAAGGGGTGGGGGGGTGTGACTCTCGTGGGGTCCCGCCGCGCACCCCCGGGTGGGGGAGAGGGGGGAGTGGTGGGGGGGGGCGCGGGGGGGCTGCCGCGCACCCCAGGGCCCCACGGGGGGCTTAAAAAACCCCCTTTTATGCAAAAGGAATGGTTAAAAAAACCCCTCTTAGCATTCCAACAGGAAGCACCAAAAACGTTAACACAATTTCTTTAGGGAACGGGGGTTACTTCTTTTCTGCGTGGCTTACTTTCTCCCTCCGCGGGGTTAGAAAACTGGGTTTGGGTGACTGGGTTACCCCCGAGAATGGATGACTGGAAGGGCGTTGTAAGATGCACAAAGCACGGAGGGGGCAGTTGGTGGGAAAGGGGACAGGCTGGATGATAGGGTGACTGGGCGTTCACTTCCACAGTTGGGTTTCTGGCCCGCTTTAAATTTCAAAATCCGGGTCAACCCCTCGGGGTTGAAGCAATTTTTGCACCGGGAATAAGCCCGGAAGGGTTGAAACGGTGCAACAGGCTTGCTGGGAAAAAAACTGGTTTAGGGGAGTCAGGCTTGGCTGGTGGTGCCCGGGGGGTAGAGCTGGTGGTTGGAGAAAACACCTTTGACCTGGCGCTACTCACACAAACAGCCTTTTAAACGTTTTAAATTTCCCTTTTAAAAAAGTAAATTTCCCCGCTCCCACCCCTGCACACCCTTTATATGTGGGAGTTTTGGGTACGTGGATTTGGGTTTGAAATACTACGTGGCTGTTATAAGTATTTTGGCGATATGTGGAGAGAGACCCGCCCGCCCTTACTATCTCCTTGCTACTTCTCGATTTTACTGGTAGCCCGTTTGGCCAGTACCCCCTTTGTGGGGTTTTTGGGAAAACTGCTGAGGTCAGGGACAAATTTAAAAACCCTGATCAAGAGACGGTTGATCGTTGGGGTTTAGCGGTTTTGGTAAACTGGTTACTTTCTACTGAGATGGTAAATGGTTACTACTACTGAGACCTCCCCTTTCTTCACTTGCTAGGTTTTCACTTTCTGGGCAACTCTTTGACTGAAAAAATATTCCTAACGTCCCCGTGACTCGTCTGAGTCTTCAGCTTCCCGTTTTTTGGGGCCCTTTTTTCCCCGTTCCCCTCTTTGGGAAAATCCAAACTCTGTCCACCTTGTCCCATTCCCCACAGTATCTTTTTATGTCGTTATTATGTTCCCTGACCCTTCTGTCCCCCAGGTCGTCAGTCCGATATCCCCTTAAACCTTTTCCCCCGTTTCGAATTCCCTTTAGCTCTGGGGTAGCCTTGTTGGCAAAAACCCTTTTTACTTTCTCTAACTTCTTACGTGCTTGGGCCAGGTTTTTGGGTTCCAAAAAGGGCGGGATACTCCCGTATGGGCCTAAAATAAAACAGTGTTCAGTGTCTTGAACGATTCTTTTTTTAGGTTTCGGAACGCTATTCTCAGGTTTGCCAGGCGCCGTATGCTGCAGCGGTTTATTTGGTTGATGTGTGCCTCCGGGTGATGTGCTCGGTGTTATGGTCACCCCAAGGTCTTTTTCCCCTGATGAGGTCTGTAGTCTTTGTCCACCTAGCCTATCTCTGTCTGCGGTCTTCTTTCCCCCTCCCCAATCTTCATGACTTTGCATTTGGCTGGATTGAAATTCGGGGGAAGCCAGTTGCTGGACCACATGTCCAGCCTGTCCAAGTCTCTTTGCAGTCCTGCCTCATCTCGTCCAATTTAATTCTTCTCATCAACTTCACGTCATCTGCGAAACAGGGACACTTCAGAGTCTATTCCTTCATCATGTCGTTCACATATATCAAAAATAGCACTGGTCCTAGAACTGACCCCTGTGGGACCCCCGCTCGTAACAGGGGCCCACTGTGATACCTCTTCACGTACCATGACTCGTTGCTGCCTCCCTGTCAGGTATTCTCTTATCCATTGCAGTGCCCTCCCCTTTTACGTGCGCCTGATTTCCCCCAGCTTCTGCCTAATCTCTTGTGGGGAACTGTGTCAAAGGCCTTCCTGCAGTCTAGGAAAACGCAATCTACCCATGCCCCTCTCTCGTGTCTACTTCTGTTACCTTGTCATAAAACTCCAGGAGGTTTGTGATACAAGATTTGCCCTCCATGAACCCATGCTGGTTTTCATTTATAATCTTGTATCTTTCCAGGTGTTCGACCACTCTCCTCCTGATAATCTTCTCCATGACTTTGCACACAATACATGTCAGAGACACAGGTCTGTAGTTTAGTGCCTCGTTTCTGTTTCCTTTCTTAAATATGGGGACTACATTAGCTGTCTTCCATTTCTCAGGTAGTTGCCCAGTTTCAAGGTGTGTTGAAGATTGTGGTTAGAGGCACACACAGCATCTCTGCTCCTTCTCTAAGGACCCATGGGGAGATGTTGTCCGGTCCCATCGCCTTTGAGGTGTCAAGGTCACTTAAGAGCTTCTTCACCTCCTCCTCAGTTGTTCGTATGTCATTCCAACACTTGTTGGTATATTCCCTCTTGATGTTCCCTTCTGTGCTGTCTTCCCACAGCCCTTTCTGTCTCTACTGTAAAAACTTCCTTAAATCTCCTGTTCAGCTCCTCACATACCTCCTGATCATTTCTTGTGAGTTCTCCACCTTCTGTCCTTAATCTGATCACCTGGTCTTTGACTGTTGTCTTCCTCCTGATGTGGCTATACAACAGTTTCGGGTCAGTCTTGATTCTCGATGCTATGTCATTTTCATACTGTCGCTGGGCCTCCCTCCTTACCTGTGCGTACTCATTCCTGGCTCTGCGACTGATCTCCCTATTTTCGTGTGTTCTCTGCCTTCTGTGCTTTTTCCATTCTCTATTGCACTTTGTTTTTGCCTCCTTACACCGTCAGGTAAACCAGGGGCTCGTTCTGGTCTTCCCATTGTTACTGTTGCCCTTGGGAATAAACCTTTCCACTGCCTCCTTGCATTTTGTTGTTACATATTCCATCATTTCATTTACTGGCTTTCCTGCCAGTTCTCTGTCCCACTGGACCTCCCGCAGGAAGTTCTTCAACCCTATGTAGTCCCCTCTTTTATAGTCAGGCTTTTCCCATTCAACTCCTGTTATTCTCTCCACTTGCAGCTCTACTATGTATTCAAAGCACAGAACCACGTGGTCGCTAGCTCCTAGGGGACTCTCATACTTGATATCCTCAATATCTGAGCTGCCCAGGGTGAACACAAGGTCCAATCTTGCTGGTTCATCCTCCCCTCTCACTCTGGTAGTGTCCTTAACATGTTGGTGCATGAGGTTTTCCAGCACCACGTCCAACATCCTGGCTCTCCATGTTTTGGGACCCCCATGTGGCTCCAGGTTTTCCCAGTCAGTCTCCCTGTGGTTGAAATCCCCCATAACCAGCAACTTTGCTCTGCTGGAGTGAGCTCTTCTTGCCACCTCAGCAAGTGTGTCCACCATTGCTCTGTTGCTCTCTTCATATTCCTCTCTTGGCCTCCTGCAGTTCTGTGGTGGATTATACACACTGCAATGACCACTTTGTGTTCCCAGACTGAAGTGTACCTGCTATGTAGTCTCTTTCTCCCGTCTCATCTATTCCTTCCATTTTCTCGAATTTCCATCTGTTTTTTACGAGCAGAGCAACCCCACCTCCCCCCTGCCCCTTCTATCTTTCCTCATGATCTGGTATCCTGGTGGGAAGATTGCATCTGTTATTGTCTCCGTGAGTTTTGTTTCTGTAACTGCTATGATTCTGGGGACTTCTCATTGATTCTTTCTTGCCATTCCTCATGTTTATTCGTTAATCCATCTGCATTTGTGTACCAAACCTTCAACTTCTGTTCTAATACTGTAACTGTGGTGCGGGGGGTGGAAACTGAGGGATCGGTGTGTGATGGTTGGTTTGGATTGTTCAGTTGCCTTGGGGGTGTCGTGGCTGGAGTCCTTCTGCAGGTGTTTCTGGGGGGTGCGCTTGTCTTTCCATTTGATCCTGGGTTATTCTGCTCTCCTTTTTCATTTCCTCCCATTTCTCCTTTCGTTTTTGAACTCTTTCATTGTCTTCCTTTCGTCCTGTGTTCTGTCTCGATCGAGGTACACACTCTGGAGCTCCTGCTTGCCTCTCAGCTGTGCCTTCTCCTGCAGGATCATGGTTCGGGTTGATTCTGCCTTGAAAATTACTTTGAGAGGCTGATTCCTTTTCTTTGTGAACCACCCAATTCTCCGAAAATTTGCCACCAGGGTCATGTCCCCCTCGCCTATCACCTTCATGATATCTTCAATCGCTTTTTTCTCCTCCTGCTTTCTTTCATCATAAGTTTCCCCTTTAGCTTCGTCTAGCCCATAGACAAACACGGATCTCTCCCTTTCCACCTCCCACTGTGACTCCTATTGCATCCTCTGATGTGTTTTAGTTCCTTCCTGTGGAGTGTTCCTTCCTTCAGTCCCTTCCCTAGTTATGGCCCCTATGCTTCTTGGTTTATCCTTCCTGCTCACCTGCTCCTGGCCCCCACAGGTATCTGGTAAGGTCCTTGCACATGTCCTAGTTCCTTCAATGTCTTCCAACCTCTCATTCTGTCCTAGTGTGCTCCCTGTTTTTGTTTTGGCCCCATGTGGATTTGACAGGACCTCTGGTGTGTGTGTATATATATGCTTGTACATGCCTGTGTAGTGTGATCTAAGTGTAAGTAGAAGTAGCAAGATGTACCTGAAATCTTGCATGTTTATGAGACAGAAAAAAGGCACCAGAAATCCTACCATGATGTAAAACAATTACAAGCTTTCGTTTGCCCAGCCATATATGTTAAGAAAAGTTTAATTTGCTATTTATTGTTAATATGGAAGCTCCTAATACAAAACATCTATCTCCTTTTAAAGCTCTGTTGTTGGCATACATGCGAGGTGCTGGCCAATTGTGCAGAGTTTTCGTCCGGGCTGGAGCATGTTTGGGCTCCACTAATAAGCATGGAGTTAACATATTTAATTATCAGGTAAATAAACATTATTTATATAAGCAAATGCATTGTATGTTATGTAAAAATTAAATTCAAAGTGTAATGTTATAATATAAATAAAATGAAAGCTGTATTAGGATGGGGCATAGGGAAGATTAGAGGAAAAGAGGAGGAAAGGCGGGTTTAATGGACAAATAGAGAGAGGAAGGAAGGAGAAATTTCCAATATTAAACTAATGCCAGAATTCTGCACAACTATTGTGAAGCTATCACTCACTACAATAAGTTATTTTATTATCCTGTGTGTGTAGATACATGAAAAAGTCTTAATAACTCTTCATCATGAGGACTATATTGAAGATATTTAATGGGGTGGTCAAAATACTACTTTTTCATGAGGATTTTGAATCTGCATCATCCCAACAGGATTATATAGAACATTATCAAGAATAAGGACAACCTTGAGTGCAAGGTTCTTTCTGGCTAGAAGAACCTAACTAGATAGTATGTACAGTTTTTTGTAACATGTTTTGTTCATTCTTTCAAAAAAGTTGAACTGATGATTCCATGAAATATCTGGGGAGAATTTAACATATTTAATGGCTTAACAAAGCTCCTGGAGAGTGAAATGTTGCCACAGTAAAATGTCACATTAGTTGCACTTGTGTCCTTTTACCTAACATATTGTCAGTAATTCTACCAACATTATTTCAACATATTTCAATCTGGGAAATTCCTAGAAAAAAAAAAAAACAAAGATTTAGATACAGTATTGATGTTTCTCTCCTTACTGTACATTTCTCCAGTCACAAATAAGCTGCACTTAGAAGAGAGAACTTTATGATAGTGTTTTGGTCTGTCCTGGACCACTGTCAAGTTACACCTGTGTGAGAGTCTTGGTATTGTGATTTATTCTTCATTTTTCCTCATTATATGTACATTCATATAAAAAATTTACTTTAATAATATATACTGTAGTGTGCTTTGCTCATATTATACTAAAGCATTAAAATGTCAGACTAAACCACTGTAAAATATTTAATCGTAGGTACCTACCAAGACACTGCTGTTCCGACTCCTTGATGTTTTGTCTGTTGAACCTCCTTGGAGTGAAGGTGAACTGTGTATGGAATGTGGAGCCAAATTTGGCATCGCCACCAGGAAGCACCATTGTCGACACTGTGGAAGACTTTTATGCAACCGATGCTCAGATAAAGACGTACCTATTCTAAAGTTCTCTTTGAACAAGCCTGTACGCGTTTGTCAGACTTGCTTTGATGTGCTTACTTTAGGAGCAGCAGCCATTTCTTAATGTTGAAGAAGTTTTAGGTCTTGGGTAATGCATGTTTGAACTATGCACTGGGGAATCTGTTGTAAATGAATTTCAAGAAGCTCATGCTTTGGTGCCACTTAGTGTGTTATATTGAAATGTAAGAAAAATATATTTACATCTTTATATATTTTTTGCAATTTGCTAGTGATCTTATAAATGAAGTAAGTATTTTCTATAAAGCTGTTCTAGTTAAACTTTCTGGCTACTGAAGCATATTTGATTATTGTAGAGAGATCCTGGATTCACCTGAATAACATCGTGGGTTATGAGGTCCTCTTGTGTAATCCTTCACATTTTTTTTAAATAGCTATTTTGCATTCCTCTGTTAGTGGGAATACATACTAGATTAAAGTTTGCTAGAAAATAGCTTATGAAATAATAAGAGTAGCTAAAGCCAGTGAGAAGATAGTTTTGTGGAGGAGGAATATTGTTAGTTTTCTATGGGGAAGTGGAACAGAATTCTTCCTCCGTAAGCCATGCGTATCGTAAGAGGCGACTAAAATGCCGGGAGCAAGGGGCTAGTAACCCCTTCTCCTGTATATATTACTAAATATAAAAGGAGAAACTTTCATTTTTCCTTTTGGGTCACCCCGCCTCTGTGGGATACGACCGGTGTGTTGAAAGAAAGAAAGAATATTGTTAGTGTTTCTTACAGACCTGGGCTTCATATTTATCTCTTGGTTCTGTCACTTGTGTTAACTACTGCTCATACACTGCAATAATTTGAGCAATAAACTCAAGACAAATGAATATATTGGAGTTTTGTATTCTGTTATTATGATGTGCTCCTACATTAACAAACCAAAGTAACAAATACTGTACCAGGTAGAGTTAATGTTTAGTGAACATTGTGTAATGCTCCTACATTGACTGCCAGTGAGACTGGTGAAACATCTATGCAGTGGAGAAGTGAAGTATGTACTTTAAGATCTTGCACAAAACACTAATTATATGTAAGATAGACATAAGTAAATTTGCAAATAATGGCATAAGGTTAATAATTATGTTTACAGTTGCATTGCTATGTGACCTATATGGGTTGACCACTTGTTTTTTAATATTGTATTGTAATAGTAATAATAGTAAGATGGCAGTTACTAAGTAGATGGTCAAGCTGCAGAACCAGGACAAGTGTTACTCACGTTGAGATACAAAGAATCACAAACATTGCCAAATCAAGGACCAAGCATTTGTTTATTGTAACTTGCTATTCCATTTTTTATCTTCAAGTAGGTAATGTCAACAAATGCTGCAATTAAAGTATACTGGCTCATGTTTTCTAACTCAATTTAAAACATCTAGAATCCACCTAATAGACAGTTTAATTTGGGTATCACATCCCTCACTGGCCTTGATGCTGGTGAGGGGCTCTTGATTCAAAGCACTTTGTTTATCTTCCATTTCCTTGGATCTAATTTCTTCCCATTCCCAGCTTGATTAAAATGATAAAATAAATGTCAAGGCATCATACCAACATGCAATCAGTTGTGTAAAAAAGAAAAAATCCTTTGGATGACAAATAAACACTATTCAAGTGATACCTTAATGTATATGCACCTTTTATTCAATTTCTCTTCATTACATTCCTGAGCATGTATTTGCATATTATTCAGGTGGTTTGGACATTTAGAGAGGATGGAGCAGTATAGGATGACTTGGAGGGTGTATAAATCTGTAGTAGAGGGAAGGCAGGTAGGGGTCATCATAGGAAATATTAGAGGGAACGGAGTAAGAGAGGTTTTTTAGCAAGGGGCTTGGAGATTCAACATGCATATACGAGTGTATTAGATGGAGCGAAAGGATTCAGGGAAACTGGTTATCTGGACTTGAGTCCTGGAGATGGTAAAAACAGTGCTTGCACTCTGAGGGACAGGTGGGGATAATGCAGTTTGGGGGCATCTGAGCTGTAGTATCAGCATACCTATGGCAAGACAGTGAGTGATTGATGACAGTGTTTCTTCTTTTTTTGGGTCACTATACCTCGGTGGGAGATGGCCAGTGTTTTAAAATGAAAATCCTGGAATGGTATGAGTTACTGTGATGACCTGTGAGAACCTGAGCAGTTTGTTGGTCCTGGCTTGCTCCAGCTAGCTTCAGAGTACTAGCTAATGAAACACAAATCAGAATATAATGTTGGTTAAGTCTTGGCATAAACTTTTATTGGTGATATTTGTGTGATTTGTTGTAAATTTTGTAATACAGTCTTAAAGTGAATAGATTATTTTATTAATACTATATGTAAAACAATAGTAGACACAAAATAAATGTATGCATCTATATTTATTCCTTACAAATTTCTTCTAAATAATTTAGTGCATAAATATGAATTGTTTTGAGTAAGACACATGTGTAACAGTCGGGTATCTTTATTGTTATTACTTTATGCCAACACAGTAAACTTCAGTCACATACATAGCAAAATACACATTGCGATAACAGCAGTAATGGCGAGGTAATGATGTGATCAGTCCCTTAACCTTGAAGTAGTTTTTGATGTGGTCAGTCCCACAGCTGGCAAAGAGTTCAGCTCTATAGTCTGGAACTGGGGAGCTGAACTCTTCTCCAGGCTGTGGAACTGACCACCTCAAAAACTACTTTAAAACTGATGGATTGATTACATCTTTATCTTGCCACTACTACTGCTGTCTCCATATTTATTCTCCTTTGTATATGACTAAAGGAACCTGCAGTGTACGCAGTACATTGCAACAGCAACGATACCCACCTGTTGCACGTCTCTTTATTTATCTACTTGTCAATATTGTATAGCATTTTTTTAATTATAAATTCCTTTCATTGTGGTTGTGGTCTATTTTGAAGTGAAAATGTACATTTAAATACATTATGTAAATATTTTTTTAATTTGCAGAATATATTATTTGAACTGCAATATCTATATGGAGGTTGTTTAATATAGTGTCACAAGTAACATTACTGGAGATAGTCTTAACACTGTGCATCTGTAGAAACTTTATATTGGTAAAAAATATTCCAGCATTTATACTCATCAAAATTAAATTTGTCGAGTTCTGATAATTAATTTTTTATTAAAAAAGAAAAGTATAAATACTGCAGTATGTAATTTTTTGAAATAGTTCCTGTATATCAGTCTGAAAAAGAATATCTTTTTCAAACTCAGGCTAATTAGCCTTTAAACTGTCCAAACGTAGATCTACGTTGATGTGCGTAGTGCTTCGAACATAGATCTATGACCGATTTTACTTGCTTTCAAATGGAGAAAATTAAGGTCGGAGTGCTATGCACGTCAGCATAGATCTATGTTTGGACAGTTTAAGGGTTAATTAAATGCCAAATATTCATTTTGTATTTGAACATAGTTACCTCTCTTTGTACTGCTTAAGCTTAATCTTTTTACAGTAGCTGAACAATTCATTCCACTTAATGAGTTTAGTTTTACATAGCTCAGTCGTGTATCAGAAACATAGGGCATGACTGTAGCTGCAATGTTCCTCAGAACCAACATTTATATACCTAATTATTTCACTAGTTACCAGAACTCTTAATATTATTTTTATTTGATTTATTCAAATATACCAAAGACTGTAAATAGTTAAGAGTTGTTTTGACTGATATATTAGGAAGGCATCATATTGCAAACAGGTCAGTTTTCAAATATTAATTTCCTGTATAAGAACAAAGTGAATGGGGAGGTTTCATTAGACTTTAAGAAGGTATTCAATAAAGCTCCTTGTGAAAAACTAATCTGTAAACCACAAAGCATAGGTGATAAAAAGGCAAACTATTACAGTAGATAAGAGATTTCATATTTAAAAGGCAATTATGAACATCAGGTAAAATGTCATCTTGTAATGTCACCAGCAGGGTGCCATAAACCTCAGTGCTTAGATAATATTTTTGATCTATATAAATGACTTCCCAAAAAGATGATGCAAAAAATACTATGCAAGTGGAAAAATTTACTGTGTATCCTTCCTAGAGGAAGACATGAACAGATAAGAGCAAGTTTAGTAAGACAGGAATCATGGCATTAAATGTGGACAAATGTCATTTAATACAAATGAGTAAAATGAAACTGGGCCTCATAGAAGATGCTAACTCCTCTTTCAACTACCATACACAAGTATTTTTATTTCTTAGCATATATATTCATCATAGGTAGTAGGTTGGTAGACAGCAACCACCCAGGGACATACTGCCGTCCTGCCAAGTGAGTGTAAAATGGAAGCCTGTAATTGTTCTACATAATGGTAAGATTGCTGGTGTCTTTTTTCTTTCTCACTAACATGCAAGATTTCAGGTACATCTTGCTACTTCTACTTACACTTAGGCCACACTACACATGCATGTACTAGCATATAAATATAAATCTATAAATCTATAGGGGAAGGAAGGAGGGGTAGGGGTCGTCCTCGAAAGGGTTGGAAAGAGGGGGTAAAGGAGGTTTTGTGGGCTAGGGGCTTGGACTTCCAGCAAGTGTGGATGAGCGTATTAGATAGGAGTGAATGGAGGCAAATGATACTTGGGACCTGACGATCTGTTGGAGTGTGAGCAGGGTAATATTTAGTGAAGGGATTCAGGGAAACCGGTTATTTTCATATAGTCGGACTTGAGTCCTGGAAATGGGAAGTACAATGCCTGCACTTTAAAGGAGGGGTTTGGGATATTGGCAGTTTGGAGGGATATGTTGTGTATCTTTATACATATATGCTTCTGAACTGTTGTATTCTGAGCACCTCTGCAAAAGCAGTGATAATGTGTGAGTGTGGTGAAAGTGTTGAATGATGATGAAAGTATTTTCTTTTTGGGGATTTTCTTTCTTTTTTGGGTCACCCTGCCTCGGTGGGAGACGGCCGACTTGTTGAAAAAAAAAAAAAAATACACACACCCTTCTAGGTTTTCTTCTATTTTCTTACAAACTCTAGTTCTTGTTTATTTTCTCTTATCTCCATGGGGAAGTGGGAGAGAATTCTTCCTCCATAAGCTGTATGTGTTGTAAGAGGCAATTAAAAGGCTGGGAGCAAGAAGCTAGTAACCTCTTCTCCTGTATATATTACTGAAATTAAAAAGAGAAACTTTTGTTTTTCTTTTTGGGCCACACTGCCTTGGTGGGATACGGCCGGTTTGTTGAAAGATGAAGAATATATTCATACAGTATACCAGATTATCTCAGAGCTCTGAATATCATTTTGTTTCAGTTGGTTTAAATATACCAAAAGTAATACATATTGTGAGTTGTTTTGACTAATTATAACAAAAGGAAGAAGAGTATTTGCAAACAGCTCGATTTATGAACAGTAAAATCCTGTATATTAAATGTAGAGGAAAATGTACAGAGGTCATATACTGCCCACATAGAATCAATAAATTATTTAAACTATTGAAAATGTCTCAAAGCATTTGGATTGTTCTCACTGGGCTGGAGAAAATATACTTAATATGTACATGGAATTTATCTGAAGTCCTGGTCCTTAACCTGTACACTCATATAACAGTTGACTGGAGTGAAAAACAGATATGGGAGAAAGGGTTTAATTAATCTAGTGATGAACAAGGGGACCATGGGTAGAATTAGGAAACGTTGTGTCAACGTGTGTAACCCTAGACTCTTCAACATATTACCAGCAGATATCAGAAATATTGAGCAAGTGGCTAGTAACCCCATCTGTATACATTGCTAAAGTTGAAAAGAGAAACTTTTGTTTTTGTTTTTGGACCATCCTGCCTCAGTGGAATACAGCTGGCACATTGAAAAAAGAAGAAAATAAAAAATATTGTCATAACAATGATGAAAGTGTTCAAGATGCAGCTCATCAGCTTTCTTCTACAAGTGCCAGATCAACTGGTTTGTGATGGCTATGTGAGCTTGTGGGTCACTAGCACAAACAGTTTGGTTGACCAGGCAATCAGCAGAGAAACCTGGCCTCAGGTCAGACTGGGAAAGAGAAGAGTGCTTAAACTGGTCACATGTAAAACAGGTAATCACATAAAAGACTTGGCAATCTTTGTCTTACTGCCTTGGCAAATACTCTCATCATAATCTTTGTGATTTTACTTTTTATATAAATAAAATTTCCTATGACTTAAGACATGATACAAGTTATCCACACATATAAATGTTTGTAACCGAATAACTGTGCGTCACTGACTTTAGAAAATAATTTGATTATTTTATTATTACTTATGTATACGACAGTTTTAAAATATTTACTGTATTTTTGTGCAGAAATGTTTGTTACACTACAAAGTTGGAAGTCTTCAGGAGGAAGCTAGGTTAAGTTGCTGCAGATATTTACACCAATAGAGTGGGTGATCAAATGTTCCCCAGGAAAGCCTGTCCTCAGACCAGAATGTGAAAGTAAAACATCTCAAAACTGGTTACAAGAACTATGAATTAAAGTACGGTAAAACTTCTCGTTAACAGACCTCTTATTAATAGATTTTAGACAAAAAATTAGTCGAACAAATACTTTAATTATCGACAAAATGGACAAAAGTCTGTAGTCATGCATTTTGTCTGTAGCAATAGTGTCCAGTTGTCTTTGCAATTTCAGACCAAGTCTATTTAACTTTGACATTTATCCAGTATGGGCCAGAGCGGCAACATCCAGGACATGTCTATTTTTGTCCTTTCCTGAGTCATAGGCCACCCGTGCCAGTTAATTGTTTGTGCTCACTCACGCTCATCATTCAGTATAATTTTCCCTGGATTTAGAGTACAGTATTTTGTATGACTTTATTAACAAATTAAGCAAAGTACAATTAATAATGGCTTCTATAGCAAGTGGTAGTGCCAAGAGAACACATGTGGTTCTCAGAAACCTATGTCTTTTCAGTCATCTACATCACAGTCATCTGCATTATTTTTACTAGTTGAGTTTAACAGCTCCTCTGACTTGAAAAGTTATTCTGAGTCACCACTATCTATTAGAAGTTTACATCTCATCTCTTAGCACTTCTCTGTATTATATACATGTTTCCTTCAGCATTTGTGATTGTTTCGGATTCCCTCAGTGCTTTACAAGGTATTAAACAATTCGATTCCCCTCATCCATTGGTCTTTCATACTCAACTTTGGTTGTGTTGTGTAGATAGCAAAAACAAAGACGTCATTTTCTGTTGGGTTCCTGGACACGTTGATGTGCGAGGCAATGAATGGGCGTATGCTGCTGCATGGTCAGCGGTACGTGATCTTTCGGTTTCCTATTGAGACATTCCGTTGAGGGACTACGTTACTGTCATCTCTACCCATCTTCGCAGATATGCACCATAATAAATTACATTCTATTAACCTGTAAACGGTCCAAACGTATATATACGTTTTTTCAACATTTGAAAGTATGTAAAAAAAGTAGATCTTCTTTTTGTTTTTTACATTTGAAAATGTGTAAAAAACTTTGATCTACTTTTTTTTTTGTTATATTTGAAAATATGTAAAAAAACATAGATCTACTTTTGTAGCACTACACATGTGAATGTAGATCTGCTTGGACCGTTTACGGGTTAAGCCACGTTTAGGTTTGTGGCCATCTTCTTACTACTGTTGCTGTACTCAGGAGACTGCTCTCTCCCATCTCCACATCGGCCATACTTGTCTTACCCATGGGTATGTCATGAAGTGACACCCTATTCCTCTCTCTGAGGTTTGTCGGGTCCCTGTTTTGGTTCGTCACTTTCTTGTGAATTGTCTGGTTTACCAGCGAGCTCACAGAATTTACCTCCACCGTCACCACCACTCTATGACTCTTACTTTATCTTCCCTCCTTGCTGACAGCCCTGACTTTGACTTATGCTCACTTTTTGACTTTTTGTCAGCAACTGCTTTACTTCACAATTTTTTTTTTTTTTTTTTTTTTTTTACACAAGGTTTGAGAAGGTTAAGGGTCCCTAGCTTTATTGACAAGCTATTTACAGGTTAAAGATTCCTAACTTTATTGACAAGCTAAGAGCTGTTGATGTATAGCCTTTAGCATCCCTTCCTGCTCTTTTCTTTCCTTACTTCTGATCCCCTCTCCAACTGGTTGTTTATAGACCCGGCACTATTTTCTGCCTCGCTGCACTGCATGACCCTTGTCGGCTTAGCGCTTTATTTGATTATAATAATACATCTCATCTCTCCACCACAATTGTCGTTATCGTATACCCCCTCCTCCCTATTATTCTGTTAATGAGAGGTTTTACTCTATGTAATAGTGTAATTACAGATAACTTTCATAGGAAGTAGATCATGAGTTATCGTGCACCTTCAGAGATGAAAGTGCACGATAATTCATGATCTACCCCTGGATTATCATATGATTTTTTAATGGTTACTTTGTTTTGAATATCACTTTCTCCCATTACATGTTCAAGTGCTGGTTCAAATAAGACTAGAATAATGTCAGAAACCTGATAAACTATCATTGGAAAATCAATGATCTATACTTTTTTTGTGTGTGTGTAAAAATGTTAATTGTTTATGGGACTATCCAAGATACGAGTGTTGGCTTTAGGAATCAGGTTGTGTTACTGTAACTTATGCTGTAACAATTTTTAACCCACAAATTAAAAGTTTAGACATACAGTAGAGGCCCAACTTAAGACATTCCAAGTTAAGTTTCTCACATGACATTGTCACTTCATAAATAATCAATTATGAACACACATATTCAGTTTGTCATTGCAAGTATTCAAAAAATATTTTAAATATGTTTCACAATTTGTGGATGTTAATTTTATGCATGTAGAAAGCTCACATTTGTTTGGCAGAGATTTGCTAAAAAATTATAGAATTAATACTTAGTTTTCTTAAGGCTGAATTATAAATATTTTTCAGCTAGTTTTTTGTCAGTTGCATTGGTATTTTGTGTATGTTTATTTTATGCTTGTGTGGAGAATTCACATTTTATTTGGGAGAGATTGGTTAAGAATCACAGATTAAAAAATGATTTTCTGTGGTAGCTGCAACCACTGCTGGCGTGCAGCGGACCTATCATTGAGTGAGATGTGTGATGACAGCAGGAGTTCCACTCTCTCTCCTTCACACAGTTATCCTCATGACTATCTTCCCACACTATATACCCAGGCACATTAACTCTTGCCATAACAGTGAGGGAGTGATGAGCCTATGCAGAGTGTTTAGATAGACATGCTGTGAGAGAGAGGATGGAAGTAAACAGGAGAGTGCAAATGAGAGAGAGAGGGAAACAATCCAGTTGCTGTCCACCCATACATGTATGTACTGTATTACAGTTCTGTTCAATTTAATTAACATATAATTAATTAAACAATGTTTAATACTACAGTATTTATAAGTAAAAATAGTACAATATGTAAAGGTCATGCATTATAAAATTGGACATACATTATTTCATAAACCTTTATTTATATGATAAATATTGTTTAAATATTGTTTAATAATGACAGTGTTTTTTAAATATATTGTATCTAATCTTTGTGTTTGTATTATTTCCTAAAAAATTAAATTGGTATAAATAAAACTGCATTTTGTCTATAAAGTAGAATACATTTCTTCTGTAGGTTCTAGGGAGGTCTAGCAGGAATATATCATGCTGATACCATTTCTGGATCTTACCAAGGTCAGTACACACGTTTTCTGATCTCTAATGTCCTTCACCTGTAGTTACCAGGTGTTTTTCTTTTATACTCAATGTCACCAGACTGCTAGCATGCACCAGAATATGGTTGTCAGATGAAACAAGAATTATGAAAGGTGGGAGTAAGTGTGGATTCCAAAGAGACTCAGAAAGACTCCAAAGAGATTCAAAGTGTCTTGTTAGGATCAAAATAGTTGTTTGCTGTGATACTCTTGGGACCCCAGCTGCAGATCATACCACCAGCACCAAAGATGAAGAGGGCAGCTGTTGACTGAAGGTGGAAATCAGATGGTTACAGCAAACCTAACATCATGCTTGGATGGTGCAAAATAGGATCTCTCTACTCTGCCCTGACATTTGCCCACACAACTTTTCAGTAAGTAAAAGGAATAATATCCTGTGAGGTCAATGTATTCAGCCAAGAACCAGAACAAACAAGAGCAGGTGAGACCACTATGGCAATCACATACAGAGGCCCACCCTGCAAGCACACATGGAGGACCTACCAATTACAGAGCCCAGAGATCTATTTGTCCAGGAAGGACATGTACTACCTGCTCTCAAAGGTAAGGCTCCTTAAAATAAACTTGTCATTGTCATTAAATATTTTAGATGGGACAAGTGGCTGCCATAGCTTCTGTAAATGTGTGGCAATTTCAATTTCCCATATTCTGTTGGACTGTCCTGTCTATCAACGAGCCCGCAGAATTTTCCTCCAATGTCATCACCACTCCAACGCCCTTACTTTATCTTTCCTCCTTGTTGATGGCTCCAGCCCTTTCTAACTCTCCTCTGTTATTCTCTCCACCCTTGCTACTCCATGATCCTGCATTTACGTCCTTGCCCTGCTGTGCTGTATGACCCTCATGGGTTTAGCACTTCTTTTGGCTATAATAAGAATAATCAAATAGGTAGTAGGTTGGTAGACAGCAACCGCCCAGGGAGGTACTACCGTCCTGCCAAGTGAGTGTAAAACGAAAGCCTGTAATTGTTTTACATGATGGTAGGATTGCTGGTGTCCTTTTTTCTGTCTCATGAGCATGCAAGATTTCAGGTATGTCTTGCTACTTCTACTTACACTTAGGTCACACTACACATACATGTACAAACGCACACCCCTCTGGGTTTTCTTCTATTTTCTTTCTAGTTCTTATTCTTGTTTATTTCCTCTTATCTCCATGGGGAAGTGGAACAGAATTCTTCCTCCGTAAGCCATGCGACTAAAATGCCGGGAGCAAGGGGCTAGTAACCTCTTCTCCTGTATATATTACTAAATGTAAAAGGAGAAACTTTTGTTTTTTCTTTTGGGCCACCCCGCCTCAGTGGGATATGGCTGGTGTGTTGAAAGAAAGAAAGAAAGAAGAATAATCATAATGCAAATATGTGGGGCCACAGAGAGCACCTAAGCATGTGTCATCCCTGGATGTCAGATGCCATGGCTTACAAGTGTACAGGCATTTGTCATTAAACAGTGTGTTGGCTCATTAATCACTTGTTTGACAAGAGAGTTGCCAAACTCATTCATGGCTACACAGGAAACAAGCAACTAGGAACCAGCTCAAGAGAGACCCCAGATCCCAGGAATGTAGCAGGGTCCAGTCAGCAAAGATCTTGAGGCAACAGGCTCTGGTGGAGGGAGTAATTCTATAGGGAAAGAGGCGGGGGTCAGCACTTACATGGCAGGTACCAGACCCACAGATGTAGGAGGCAGTCTTGTGAGGCTCATACCACTAGGAGGGCCCTTCAGCTGAGGTAATGATGCCTTGTTGCTGTTAAAGAGCTCTAGATTCAAATAATTGAACCATCCCTCCTTTTACTGTGATTGAATCTGATTGCCTCCCATTTCCGAAGGTTCTTTATGACTGCTTTGAGATTAATGCTCCCTCCATGAGCTAATTTTCTCCATTATGAGATGGAACTTTTCCCTGTTCCCTTTGGGGGAGGAGTGAAGGAAGCTAGAGTTTTGTCTTTTGAGACAGAAGCATAATAAGAGATTACCACAGCTCTCTTATTCCAGGGTTGCTAGATGGCCTCAAACCTTGGTGGTGCCTGCCTCTGTAACCCTTCCACGGTCATCTCTGTGTCAAACCTTTTTGCAGTCCTACTTTCAGAGGTACCAACCTCATTGTCTCTTACTGTGCCTACCTCTTTATCTTCCCACTCACGAGTTTCTTTGTCTACGCCTTCTCTTATCTAAATCTGGCGCTATGTACCCCCCCCCTCTTCTCCAGAGTCTAAACCTTCTGTCTAAATCTATAACCCCCATGCCACATGACATTCCCAAACATCATAATTTTCCTGTCTCTTAGCCTAGGCCTTTACTTCGTGATGCATCTTCTACTGTTGTGGAAGTTTATCTACCTCCAAGCATAATTACTCCCTCACCTGTCCCTACTGAAATTTCTTCCTGCCAAGTTAGTTTAGTTTTAGCTTAATATCTTTATTATGCAGCCCATACCCATCCTGTGGGTGGTAGTCAAAAGATTAGAGAGGTACAGTGGACCCCTGGTTCACGATGCTATCGGTATCTGATAAATCTGGTATCCGATGCATTATATCGCAAAAAATTTGCCTCAGTTCCCGTTACAAAACCCGGTATGCGATACAATTCGTATGCATACCAGTTCAGGGCACACGTGTCCACATGTGGCCTGAACTGCCCCGTGTGTGCCAGTGTTTACAAGCCAGTCAGTGTGCGCGCATCTAAGGATACATTCAGTACATTCCATATTATCCATATTATCACTGTTTTTTGTGCTTGTTTCTGCAAAATAAGTCACCATGGGCCCCAAGAAAGCTTCTAGTGCCAACCCTGTGGTAAAAAGGGTGAAAATTAGTATGGAAATTAAGAAAGATTTTGAAGAGTTTGGGGCTAACCCTGAGAAGCCTATGCCAGTTGTGGAATCCATTGTGCCTACTTCAAAAATTAAGGAAATGTGTGCACAGTGGGTTGAACTGCAAACCTTTATGGATGAAAATCACCCAAACACAGCTATTGCAAGCCGTGCTGGTGACTATTACACTGACAATGTTATGAACCACTTTAGGAAAGTCATAAAGGAACGAGAGGTACAGGCCTCTATGGACAGATATGTTGTGCGACAGAAGTCCAGTGACTCTCAAGCTGGTCCTAGTGGCATTAAAAGAAGAAGGGAAGTAACCCCGGAAAAGGACTTGCTACCTCAAGTCCTAATGGAGGGGGATTCCCCTTCTAAACAATAGGTTCAACATTCTCCCCTTCTCCCATCCCATCAATCATCACCAGATCTTCATTAAAGGTAAGTGTCAATTATTCTATTATTATTCTATTGTTATTGTTGTTATTGTAATTATTCTATTGCAAAACTAATATTTCATGTGGTAAAAGTTTTTTTTTTTCATACTTTTGGGTGTCTTGCACGGATTAATTTGATTTCTATTATTTCTTATGGGGAAAATTTATTTGCTTTCCGATAATTTTGGTTTACGATGAGTTCTCAGGAACGGATTAATATTGCGAACCCGGGGTCCACTGTATATAATGGGTCCAGGGACTGGACCCCAAAGTTATGATAACTGAACTACAGTGGACCCCCGGTTAACGATTTTAATCCGTGCAAGAGGGCTCATCGTTATGCGAAATAATCGTTATGCGAATGAATTTTCCCCATAAGAAATAATGGAAATAAAATTAATCCGTGCAAGACGCCCAAAAGTATGAAAAAAATTTTTTTTTACCACATGAAATGTTAATTTTAATACACACAAACTGAAAAAGGCATGCACAATTACATGACACTTACTTTTATTGAAGATCTGGTGATGATTGATGGGATGGGAGGAGGGGAGAGCATTATCTTCTTACTGTTTAGAAGGGGAATCCCTTCCATTACGACTTGAGGTAGCAAGTCCTTTTCCGGGGTTACTTCCCTTCTTCTTTTAATGCCACTAGGACCAGCTTGAGAGTCACTGGACCTCTGTCGCACAACAAATCTGTCCATAGAGCTCTGTACCTCCCGTTCCTTTACGATTTGTCTAAAATGGGCTACAACATTGTCATTGAAATAGTCACCAGCACGGCTTGCAACAGCTGTGTCAGGGTGATTTTCATCTATAAAGGTTTGCAGTTCAACCCACTGTGCACACATTTCCTTAATCTTTGAAGTAGGCACAATGGATTCCACAACTGGCATAGGCTTCTCAGGGTTAGCCCCAAACCCTTCAAAATTTTTCTTAATTTCCATACTAATTCTCACCCTTTTTACCACAGGGTTGGCACTAGAAGCTTTCTTGGGGCCCATGGTCACTTATTTTCCAGAAACAGCACCGAAAACACTGTAATAATACGAAATATTCCGAGTGTATGCTTGGATGTTACCGCGGAGGCTGGCTGGTAAACAATGGGACGGCCGGCACATGTGAGGCTGGCTGAGGGCACATTGGACGCGTCTCGGACGAAAATCGGTAAGCGGGTTTTTAATCGGTATGCGCGGCAAAAATTTTGCGATAAAAGTAATCGGTATGCGGAAAAATCGCTATGTGATGCCATCGTTATGCGGGGGTCCACTGTAGTTACAAAGGTAATAAGGAACTCCAGGTAGATCTGGTTAAAATCATGACCAAGTTACAAAGATAATGAATCATCTACATGTCTATACATGGTTACAATCATGACCAGATTACAAAGTAATGAGCCATTCACACATCCACACCCAGTCACAACTGTAATGAGTTGTTAGTTCAAATATTAACTGGGTCTGTGTAAAACGAAAGCCTGTAATTGTTTTACATGATGGTAGGATTGCTGGTGTCTTTTTTTCTGTCTCATAAACATGCAAGATTTCAGGTACATCTTGCTA